CCCCAAAACCCCTCAGGACCCCCCCCAAACCCCCCCAGCCCATCACCTACGTGCCAGCACGCCGCTGGTGGCGCAGTCCACGCCGCCCTGCAGGCTCCAGCCCGCGGCCGCCCCCGGCGCCGCCGCCGCCGCCACCCTGGGCGCCTCCTCCTTCCCCTCGCCGCAGCGGCTGTCGGCCTCGGGCTCCCCTCCGGGGGGGTCCCCAGAACCCGAACCCTCGGTCCCCGCCGCCTGCGGGGGTCCCCCGGCCCCCTCCTCGGGCAGGAAGGACACGTCGGGGGTCTTGCAGCTGCTGTCCACCGTCTGCGAGTCCGGCGTCAGCTCGCGCTCGGCCGGCGCCGCCGCCGCCGACACCGGCGCGGGTTTGGGGGCGCCGGCGGCCGCACGAGGGGGGCTGGGGGGTTTCGGGGTGCTGCCCCCGGCGGATTTTTCCGAGCCAGACCAGGCGGGGTCGGGTTTGGGGGGCAGGCGGTGAGGAGGGGTCCCGGCGCTTTGGCTGCAGCTGTCGGCTTTGGATTTCTTCAAAGCGCCGCCGCCGCTCTTCACCTTGGTCTTCCTCTTCTTGCGCGTCTCGCCCTTGGCTTTGACCTTGACTTTCTTCACCCCTCCCTTGACCTTGGGGGGCTTCGCCTTGCGGGGTTTCGCCCCCGCGTCGCGAGCTTGCCCCCCGTCGTTTTTGGGGGTGGCTTTTTCCGCCTTCTCCTCGGCTTTCAGGAACGCCGCGCGGCTCTCGGCGTTGCGGGCGAATTTCACCCCGATCCCGGCGCCGCCGCCGGCGCCGCCGTCCTTGCCGGGGGTGGTGGTGGAGCTGACGCCCTCCCGGATCAGCACCGACACCTTGGATTGAAGCTTCACCTTCCTGGGCACCGCCGCCGGCGTTTTCGGCGCCGCCGTTTCCGCCCCTTCCTTGTGCCCCCCGCCCGTTTTCCCTTTCCGCCCGCTTTTCTCCCGCTGCTTCTCCTTGCTCTTCCCGGCCTCGGCCGCGGCGGGCTCGGCGTAATCCTTGAATTTCTTCTTGTATTTCTCCCACCCCGCCGGCCTCTCCTCGGGGCGGCTCCGTTTCCTCTCCTTCTCCTTCTTGCCGGGCTCCGGCGGCGCCGGCCTGGCCTCGGTTTTGCGGCCGGGGAACTCGGCGTGCTCGCGGTCGGAGAAGCCCTCGAAGCTCAACCCTTCGGAATCGTAGAGCACCTCCCGTTTGGGCTCGGGCGTGCCGGCGGCGCGCCGGTTCACCGTGATGGTCCTTTTGATGGCGAAAAGATCCGAATCGTTCAGCTCCTGCACCGAGGGCGGCACCACGGCCCGCGGCTCGCGCCGCCGCGCCGCCTCGCTCTTCTCCGCCGCCTTGCCCTCGCCGTCGCGCCGGGATCCTCGCCGCTCCCTCGACCTCGAGCGCTGCTTCTTCTTCTTCTTCTCCCCGCGGTGTTTCTCCTTGTGCCGCGAGCGCCCGGAGCTGCCGGAACGCCGCCGGCGCCGCTTCTCCCTGGAGCGCGACCGCCTGGACCACGAGCGCCGGCGCGACCTCGACCTGGAGCCGCGGCGCCGGTGACGCTCCTTGGATTTCGGCGCCGGCTCCGGCGCTTTTTTGGCGCCGGCCCAAGCGGCGGCGCCGGATCCGCCGCGCTCGCGGGATCGCTTGGATTTCTTCCGCGACGCGGCCGAGGGCGAGCGATCTCCCCAAAATTCCCCATTTCCACCCTGAATTCCCCATTTCCAGCCAAAATTCCCCAGTTTCGCCCCAAAATTCCCCATTTCCATCACAAATTCCCCATTTTTACCCCAAAATTCCCCATTTCCAGCCTAAATCCTAGAGAGAGCACCCCAAAATATCCCATTCCCAGCCTAAATTCCCCATTTCCAGCCAAAATTCCCCATTTCCACCACGAATCCTACAATCCCTTCAGACCCCCCAAATAATCCCAAAATCCCCCCAAATTCTCCCAAAATCCCCTCAAACCTTCCCAAAATCCCCCCAAAATCTCCTCAAATCCCCCAAAATTCCATCCAGGTCTCCCCAAAATCCATCCGAACCCTCCCAAAATCCGCTCAATGCCCCCAAAATCTCCCCAAACCCTCTGAAATCCCAACCAAAATTCAACCAAATCCCCCCAAAATCCACTCAAAACTTCCCAAAATCCCCC